ATTGGTTCAGCATAAAATTAGGGCCTTAGTGTACAAATGTTTGGTTTGGATGCAATTGCAATTCTGTTACTCATGGATAGATGGATACATATGACATATTGCACATACATCCTCATTTGAAAATGCAGCTGCAGAGTGAGTATAAAAGTTGTAAAAAGCCAGTCTCTGAAATTCACATCAAGCAAGCATCCACATTATTTATATAAACCTCTTTGGTCTCCATAAATAGGCAGGAAATCTCAAAAGATTAGAATAGCTCCTGAGGACATTTCCAGTATTTGATCTTTTGAGTTGACCAGTTAGTTAATAATTGCAATCAACAAATCACTCACTTTTAGTGCTGGAATAAACTATTAAGAAACCATTTAAAAGAGGAAAATATCTCTTGTGTTGTTTTGCAGTTAAAATTTGTAATAAAGCCGCAATGGCTGCAGGAATGGGACCTAGAAAGCTGTACTTGCTCTAACTGAAACTAGTGGCAAGATGTCAGTGGTGCCGAGCATTGCAACTCAGTTGAATTTATCTGGAATTGTGGCTGCTCAGCACCTCTCCAGATTGATATCCGAAGCTCATGCCCTAAGTGACAGAAATCCTCAAAATTTTGCAAAAAATAGAGAATTTCTTTTAAATTTCCTCTGTATATTATTATTCTTTTTTTCTCCTAGTAGCGTGTGATAGTCCCTGCAATGGGATGTAGTTATGCTCCTACATTATTTACATGGCATACTTAGAAGTAAAAAACTAGTCAACTTTAAATGCGAGCAGCTAAGTATGTTGCTTGACTGATAAAACATTTGCAAATATAAACAAATTTAAATTATTTTTCAGTGGAAATCAGAGCAGTTTTCCCTGAAAGTGGCTAAGTATTGGGTATAGTTTATTTCTTCCAGGCATTATTATTTTTATGCTTTCTCAGTTTGCATTCAATATGAGACATACAGACAGATTTGTAGAGCTAGCTTTGCAATGACAAATTCCTTACTTTGAATGGCTGAGAAATTTCCAGTTGTTTTCACATTGATTCCCTTTAGCAAAGAATAGAGTTCCAGGAAGTTACAGATGCAGAGTCTTGATTTTTCATTGCCTAAATGTTTTCAGGCCTCTTGCCCCAGTACGCTAATGTTAACAGAGCTGCTTCAGAATTTCAAGCAGTGCTCTCAGTAATTAAAGCTGATGCTAGCTGCCTCTTCTCCCTTGATGCTGACACAAGGTAGAGAAACTGTCAAGTTTTCAAGAATTATGCCCCATACTTAGAGAGAATAGCCTAGCAGCTACTTGAAATAAAAGAGCAGCATTTTTAAAATTGTAAAGTGGAAAAGAGTATCCAGGAGAAAGGCTGAGGATGGGACAAATTCTGTAACAGGAGAACAGAGGAAATGGATGGAAAAGGATGCAGTTCTTGAATCCATCAGGGTTTAAATTTGGTGCATCTTTCGTGTAATGTTTCATAGCACTACAGCTTTAGAGAATTGTATAAGATTTTAAAAATTGCTAATAGGTTCTATTGCCAACCTTATATGCTATCCATATATGCCAACATATATCTGGATCAGTGTCATGAAAGAAATAAGTCATATATATGCAATAGTCCTGTTGTCTCCAGTGTCCTCATCCAAAGTTCCTTACTGTAGTGAATGAAAGAGTGCTCTCTTCCTCCAACAGAACCCCTGCTCTTATCACATGATGTATTAATCATGCCTCTTGTTGCTGTGGCCAAACTGGTCTGGATTATTCTAATTTGCTACGCTCAAAGTTTCCTTAGTTTTATGTACTAACTGGTAGTGCAGCTTTGCAGGAGACATTAGTGTCCTCGAGTATGAAAAACTAAAATATTTTACAAGAAACCGTAAGGCCTGCTCTTGTAGAAAAATCACTGGGTCAGATCATTCTCACACTTGTGTTGTCTCTTTTAAAAGACAATATAACTCCTGCCACATTCTGGCATATCTGTATTATATTTTTAAGATGGCTCTGATATTGATATTCAAATTATGCCAAGTACTGGGGTGCTCAGGAGTAGGGCAGAGAGTGAGGTGAGATTATATATAGGTAAGGTTGCCAACTACTCTAATCACAGAAACCCACGCCCACCCTTGCCTCATCCTCTGCCCCACTGCTTCTCCAAGGCCATGCCCTGCCCCTTCTCTGAGGCCCTTTCCCATCCCCACTCCCTCTGTCATTCACTCTGTTCCCTCTCACTGCTCTGGGGAAAGGGGTTGTTAGGTGCAGGCTCTGGAGATTAAGTGATGGGTTTGGAGTGGGGGGGGGGGCCTCTGGCCTGAGCCTAGGACAGGGATTGGGGTGTGAGAGGGACTACAGGTTTAGGGAGGGAATTTAAGTTTGCAGAGGAGGACTCGGGGCTGGTCCACAGGTTTAGGGTATAGAGTTGGTACAGGGTGCAGGCTTTCGGAAGGAGTTTGGGTGCAGGAAGGAGTTCCAAGCTGGGGTAGGAGATTTGATGCAGGAGAATGTGAGGGGTGCAAGCTCTGATCAGGCAGCACTTACCTAGGGTTGCTCCTAGTCAGTGGCACAGCAGGGCTAAGGCAAGCCTGGCCCTGCACTGCTCCTGGAAGAGAGACTGGTATGTCCCTGCGGCCCACTGGGTGTCATGTGGCTCTGCAGCTTCCACTAGTCAACAGTTCTCAACCAATGGGAGCTGTGAAATTGGCTCTTGAGGCATGAGAAGTGTGCAGTGACTATGTGGGCCTGGGCTGGGGCTGCATGGAAATGGGGCAAGAGCCCCACGGCTTGCCCCAGCTACTCCTGACTTCACAGGAACGGAGCCCCACGGCAGGAGCTAGAGTTTATGCTGCCCAGGGAGCCATCAGTAGCTAGGCAATCAGCCCAGCAAGGTTAAGAGGGAGGGCAAGGCAGGGTTGACTGCTGGAGCAGCCTGCCAGCAATACATGATGGGCTTGGGGGCTGGCGGCAGAAGTCTTCCCCTGTCCGGCAAATTCTCTTGTTTGAGTCTGGTCAGATCACAGTGTTGCCGGATCAGAGATATCCAACCTATACTTGGTGATATACTGGGTTAACTATCATTTAAATACTGTGCTAGTGATGTGACTAGATCCCAATGGACTATTGTAATAATTTACTGCTTTATCTGTATAATAGTTCTGTTTTTCAATGGATAATCAAAAATTGGGTATTCCATTGGAATATTTCTATTTTTGTTTCTGTTGTGTGGCCATATTTGTGCAGGACAGTACAATAGTCTAGATTCTTTGTATAGAACAATGAGTTTTCATTTTAATATGATAACCAGCAGGAAGTAGATACAACAGATTGATATAAGCAAAACAGAAGTAACAAAGATTAGAGTAAGACTGATTTAATACTACAATAAAGCCTGAGAATAAAAACTTGATCTATTTGGAGTCTGTTTTGACTTTTGTGAGGTCTGGATTTCACCCAACATACAGAATAAGATGTTGTTGTTTTAACTGAATATTGAATATCCTTTAAAATAGTATTAAATATAATAAAATATACTCAAGTGTCCCCCAATATACTAGACTGCTCTGATTATAACTTTACTGTTGTCAAAGAATATGAATGATTTGCTCTTGTATCATAGGTGTTATGACATAACACTCATTAATGTAATACAGTATTATTTCTCAAGAGAAAGATACCAATTGGCAGGATCCAGAGTCTGGCTTTGATTTTTAGACCACAGATGGGGATTTGGGAAGGAGAGGGACATAAGGATCATTACTGCTCTTCCTTCATTATTGTGTTACTTTTGTATGCTGGTTACTAGTGTTGTATTATGACAAGTAGCATATTCTTTGGCTTCCATTTCTGTAGAAGTTTCTACTTGTTTGTAGCATGCACCTGCATTAGCTTACCCATTACTTCGTTCTCAAGAGCACGTTTCCAGGAAGCCAGTGCTGAAGTGAGCTGGAAGTGTAAATTCTTAAATGCATAGATGAGCCTCTACAGGAGTGGTTTTAAATAGTCTAGATATTTATCTGCTTTTGAAATGTTTGCCTTAATAAGCTGAATTTCGAAGAGGAATATGAATGCATGAATCAAACTGAAGTATTCAGATTTATTTATTTTTTTGCAGAATTTAACAGCTGCAAGGACTTGCATAAGAAAAGGAGAAGAATTTTTCAAAAACTGAATACCATATACCTTCATTTATAAGCCACTCTTGATTAGTAATCATTTCTATTTATTAGCTGCAACTTTACTACAAAAGCTACTGGAGCAAATAATTAATTATAATCGAAGCTGTGGCTTTTACATGTGGATATATGGGATCTGCTGTTAAGACCAATAACACAGAATGGTTAAAAGAAATATTATCTCATTAGAGAACTCTGGGACAAATGTATAATTGGGATAAATAGTACATTTTGGAGATTACTGTACCATACAAGCTAGTGACTGGTATGGGAGTGCATCTGCACAGTTGATGAGAAATGCTCAAATTGTCAGGCATCTGTTCCTGTACAGTTTCGGGAAATAGAATTCAGTGTGTTCATAGTCCTTCATTATTTGTAGTTTTGTCTGAATATATGTTTTTTGAATAGCAAATTTGGGAACTGTAGATGAGATTCACTTTATCAAAAAATAAAGCTTAGTTTGCAGCAAAACAGTTTATAACGGTTAGATCATCCAATTGGGGGACACAAACAATCCCATGTGACTTAGCTGACCAGTCACAAGCCTTGAGTAGTGAATTCAAAATAGCAATTAATGAACTGAATGCTCAAAATGTATTCATACAAAGCATTTGAGTAGAATTGCATAATAAATATATTCAGAAACATTCAGATTCTTTTGTAGATTTGTAAACAGGAGAAAAAGATCTACACCTACCAAATATTTAACCTGTTTTAATTTGTAGATTGAAGTACCCGATAGATAACTGAGACTTTCCATTGAGTTTCTATGAAAATAAAGCTTTATTTTCACAGTATATTTGTACATTTAAAATTAATATTTTAATTTACTACAATACTGAAAATTGTGTGTTCCCTCCACAGACCAGCAGTACTCCTGGTCACCTTCTCAGCACTTCAATGAAGAAAGATTCTCGCCTGCTCCGAGGAACATGAAAGGATTATCTGGTAGTCGCAACCAACCACAATTATGTTCTGCTCATACTTGTGGCTTAGCATCCCCTGAAGATTGTGAACACACCCACGATCATATCCACCATGGGCAGGAGCCAAGGCAATCATATCTTCTCAGCCCTACAGAGAGCTGCCCGCTGGACCATCATCGCTGCTCGCCACGAAGCTCTATCCATTCAGAATGCATGATGATGCCCATGGTTATGGGCGATCACATGTCAAGTAGCACTTTCCCCAGAATGCACTACAGCTCACATTACGAAACTAGGGACGATTGCACCATGTCTCACGCTAATCCTAAAATTAACCGAATTCCTGCCAATCTCTTGGATCAATTTGAGAAACAACTTCCTCTCCACAGGGATGGGTTTCATACTTTACAATATCAAAGGACCTCAACAGCTGCAGAACAACGCAGTGAAAGCCCAGGAAGAATACGCCATCTTGTTCATTCAGTCCAGAAACTTTTCACTAAGTCTCATTCTTTGGAAGGATCATCCAAGGGTAACGTCAATGGGACAAAGGGAGACAGCCGAGGGGACGACCATCATCATGGGCATCATTCCAAACATAGCAAAAGGAGTAAAAGTAAGGAGCGAAAACCAGAGAGCAAGCATAAATCTGGAATGAGTAGCTGGTGGAGCTCTGATGATAATTTGGACAGCGATAGCACTTATCGCACACCTAGTGTAGTAAATAGACATCATGTTGATCATATCTCCCACTGCTACCCTGAAGCGCTCCAGGGGCACTTTGGGGATCTCTCGCTGAAGACTTCCAAAAGTAACAATGATGTGAAATGCTCTGCTTGTGAAGGGCTAGCAATGACCCCTGATGGTAAATACATGAAAAGGAGTTCTTGGTCCACACTTACAGTAAGCCAGGCTAAAGAAGCTTATCGCAAGTCATCACTTAACTTAGATAAGCCTCTGGTTCATCAGGAAATCAAACCTTCTTTGAGGCCGTGCCATTACCTTCAGGTGAGAGCCAGATTTGGTTAATATTCACAATAGAACAGCAATGAGTTATTATTCATGTCAGAAAGTCATTATAAAAATATATGGGTGCCCTGTAAATCTATTTTACAGGTTATGGTATTTGCCTTCTGCAGATATCTTGGAAATAGGAAATCTGCAGTATTTATTCTTCAGTAATATGGTTCAGATTGCATTGTGACTAAAATGTATGCAGTGTCAACTAGTTTAATTTGAAGTAATTCATTTTCAGTATCTAAGTTTGTCCTGTAGTTAAATCTGGATGATCTCTATGATTCAGATTACAGAAAGGGGCACTTTTCCCATTATTTTTTGTCTAGGATACATTTATGGAGGACAACTAGGGTATGTCTACACTACAGAGTTTTGTTGGAAAAATGGCAGTTTTTCCGACAAAACCTGAGTAACGTCCACACTGCAATAGTGTTCTTCCGAAAGTAAATTGAAAGAACAGAGGGGTTTTTCTGGTGTTGGTAATCCTCTTTCTAGGAGGAAGAAGCCTTTCTCTGAAAGAGATGTTTTGGAAAAAGGCATCTGTGGACGGGAAAGAGGGAGTTCTTTTGAAAGAAGAGAAAAGAGGAAAAAGCACAGGTGCTCTGATGGCCAGTCTGTCCATAGTAATCACAGCTTAAATGCAAGATAGCATCCATTCAGTGGAAGATCTATTCCGAAAAAAAGGTTCTTCCAAAAGAAGCCTGTCATCCAGACACAGCCTCATAAAGTAAAGGTACTAAGCTAATCTGGGTGAGATCTTGAGAGAGCTTTCCTTCTGTTACTCTCAGTCTCTTCCCAAACCTTCTTAACAATCTGGCTAGATATACTGGTACACTTTGTTGCTTTTGCTTCTCTGATGATGCAGAGCAGTTTAACTGGGTGAAAATACAGGCTTCATGATTACTTTGCCTCACTGACATGGAGCAAAGCAGTGAACTGAATCTGGTCCTGTGTCTTTAAGACTTGGTCTGAACAATTCTTAACATTATGTCTACGCTACAAGGATTTTGCACACAAACTGACGGAGCATACACACCCGAAGCGCGTTTTTGCACACACAAAAAATACAGTAAATTGACAGGATAGAGGGCTTTTGCTGGCAGAGTTATTCCTCTCCCCACGAGGAATAACTGCTTTTTGCGCTACAGTTCTTGCGCAAAAAGGCATGTGTGGCTGCTTCTCAGGGGTTTCATGTGAAAAAAGAGCCTGTCAGAAGAAGCACAGGTGCTCTGATGGCCATTCTGTTAATGACAATCAGAGCTTTTTTGTCGAAAAGCCGTGTAAACCTCATTTTTTGAGGAAGAGCAGCTTTTTGAGAAGGGGGGGGTCGCCAAAAAAGCCGCGTCTAAACTACTTTCACTTCCGAAAGCGGAGCTTTCCAAAGTACAATCGGAAGAAGATATGCAAATTCCCACTGCATTTGCATATCTTCTTTCTACTGTTCCACATAGTGTAGATAAACTGTAAGGTCTACATGGCAACACTATTTCAAAATAACTAGTGCTATTCCCAAATAACTTTTAGTTCATGTCTACACAGCAGGCAGTTATTTCAAAATAGTGTCAAACTACTGTCAAGCTGGAGGGCTTCTTACTCCGATTCCTGTAAACCTCATTTTAGGAGGAATAAGGGAATTCAGAGGAAGAGTGTTCTATTTCGAAATAAGTGCTATGTAGATGCTCCCTATTTTGAAATAAGCTTTTTTGAAATAAGATATGCAATTGATGTAGCTCAATTTGCATAGCTGATTTCAAGGTAAGCCCTTCAGTGTAGATGCACCCTTAGGAACTCTGTGGCAGATCTTGAAGTCTGATGCTTGAACCTAGGTGCCTTAAGTCCCTGCCTACCCACTAATCACTGCATCATCCTTCCTTTCCTCTTGATGAGAAACAGCAGAACGTTGTCTCCTCTAACTTTCATCTTTGGGGAGGTAGCCAAGCCAGGACAACTTCAAGAAATATGAATAACTGAAAACAAGGGGCTAGAGTAGAAATTCTTGTGCAGCTTTAACTATAGTGGTTGCTACTGCTCCCCAAATCATTTTTCCCTTTATTTAGAAAGATGTTGGGAGCAAGCCATATCTTTAATAATCAGTTATAAGAATCTTTGGCTAATTAGGTACAGCACATTTGAAACCAAAGGCTATTATCTGATTTACTCTACTGTTTGGCATGAATCCTTAGCTGTGACATGGATTTTCAGGAAGAAAGCTGGAAGTCAACTAAGTGTCAATAGTAAAATTATAAATTTAAAAGTTGGATTTTACCATTTTCATTATTCAAATATCTGTGAGCACTGCTGGAAGAGAAAAGAAAACTACTTCAGGCAGAAATGTACAACTAACAACCACTACAGTTTGGGAGCGTAATGTTATGCTTCCTCAGTCATTCAACAGTATTAGAAGCAGCAGCATGAAATCAAGGTAAACACATCAGTGGTACAGCGAATGAGTCAGCACTTAAAAAAGAAAATAACATGTTGTGCTAAAAATGGCCACAGCCCCCTTCTGCCTTCCTGATGCATTAAAGTGTTAGCGTCATCCATTACAGCACTGACATTACTAGTGTGCAGGTGGTAATAGCATCAGTGGATTCTGTACTATGAAAGAAAAACACTCTCTGTACTTCTGTGCAATTTAGTCTTAAAAAAATAAACCAGTTCAGCTGCACTCTGCATTCAGGTATGCTGAAGTGGAGAAGAACATTAAGTACAGGCCTGCAGAAGGGTCCCCTTAATAGTTGCTTGCATGGCTCCTAGTCCTGAAACCCTGCTGAGGCCACTGTTGCTTCAATAAAGTAACATTATAGCCTTAGAATATCTGTACTACAACTCTCCATGCTGTTTCTTTGTTGGGAGGATAGAACTTATCCTAACCAAATTCTATATGCATTACAATGTCATGGAGGCAGATTACAAGCTCCAGATTTTGTCATGTGAATCCCTATATTGCAACTATGTAAAATTATTTCCAGTGCTGCATAATTGCTGAGTAGAAATTACTCCTAATGTGCATCTCAATGAACTACAGCAGAATCTCAAAGCTGTGCACACCGAATGTATGAACTGACCTATCAACCACACACCTAATTTGGGATCAGAAGTACGCAATCATGCAGCAGCAGAGACCAAAATAAAAAAAAACTAACTGGATAGTACTCTATTAAACGCACTACTAAAATAATGGGGGAAGCACTATTTTTCTTCATAGTTAAGATTCAAAGCTGTATCGAGTCTATGTTCAGTTGTAAATTTTTGAAAGAACAAACAGAATGCTTTGTTCAGAGTTACAGACATTTCAAAGTTATGAACAACCTCCATTTCTAAGATGTTTGTCACTCTGAGGTCCCACTGCACTCATGAATGCATTTCATAATGTTCTCAGTGCCCATTATATCTTTGTACAATTCTATACTTACTTCCTGAATGGCTTTAAACAACTAAATTGACACTCCTCTTTCCCAGTACCCAGGGATGCAGAGGCTACATGGCCAAGTCTGAAGTGATGTTCTTTGAAAGAGAAAAGTGAAATAATTATATAGACTGAGCCTTGTGGGGCAAAGTTTTAACTAAAACCACTGAGTGTCTACGATTATTACCATGAATAATGGCTGATAGAGTGCTGCCTCCAAGTGCTAAAAATCCATTTACAATGTTTGATTAAAATACTGCTACAGATATGCTGTGGCTGATTTTCCAAATAAAATAACAGAAATATTTATATTTTCATATCTCTCTAACACCTCGTGCATGTTAACATTATATCGTAAGTGCTGTTGTCAGGCTGGGAATGGTGAGAGTGTGTTCCTACCAGGAACTATCAGGAATGATTCTCCTTTATATTTCTAGCACTTCTTTGTTGTCAAAATAATGTTCATCATTAAAAAGAGCACAACGAGTGGTCCTGTGGCACCTTAGAGGCTAATAATAAAATATAGAATTGTGAGCTTTCATGGGTAAATCCACTTCATCAGGTGAATCAGTGGGTTTTACCCATGAAAGTTCAAGATTCTATATATTTTTATTAGTCTCTAAGGGTACGTCTAGACTATAGGCTTTTGTCGACAGAGGCTTTGTCAACAGATACTGTCAACAAAGAGCATCTAGACTACAGCCAGTTCTGTCAACAAAGCGAGCTGCTTTGTCAACAGAGAGTCTAGATGCTCTCTTTTGAAAAAGCACAGTGTGAATGCAATAGCACCTTTTTGTTGACAGAACTCTGTTGACAAAAGGCGTTATTCCTCATAGAATGAGGTTTACCATCTTCAACAAAACTGCTGCATTCTGTCGACTTACCTATGTAGACGCAGGTCTAGTTTTGTCGACAAATGTCCACTTTTGTCGACAAAACTCTGTAGTCTAGAGTCTAGACACACCTTTAGGTGCCACGGGACAACTCATTATTCTACAGACTAACATGGCTCCCTCTCTGAAACATTAAAAAGAGAGGTAGGTTGAAAGCTGTTTTTTGCCAAACTTGCCCAGGGCAACCCTTAGCATCCCAAGAAGCCATCAGCCACAAGTAAGCTATTATTTTAGAGCTCTGAACCAGTTCACACCTACGATGGGATGCTGCTTTACTACTGCCACTGATGCAAAATAGCCACACACTCCTTGTGGCTGCCTAGGACTGAAATGATTAGCTAGTGCAGTTTTGGGCCATGGGAAGGGGGGGGGGCATTGTACAACCATCATTTTAAAAACATTTTTAAAAGATGGAACTTTGACCCCCAAATGCTCACAGTTTCGCCACCCTTTCTGGGTCATCTTTTAGTCCCATCTTTAAAGGATGATTTTGAAGTGTAGTTGTTCATGTGTTTAAATATCTTAGTGGTAATGTATTCATGGCCCCTATTACTTGAAGTAAAGGAATAAATATACCTTCCTTTAGAACTGTACAGGTTGTAAGTGTGTACTAATAAATGGAAAGTAACAAAAACCACCAATTTTCCTCAAGCTGCTAAATAATTGCCCATGGAGTTTTAAGTTTGCTG